CCTGGTGTTATGACTAAGTCTGATTAAGAGCGGTAGTTTGAAACGTTTCCTAGTTCTATTGGTGCCTGGTGTTATGACTAAGTCTGATTAAGAGCGGTAGTTTGAAACGTTTCCTAATTCTATTGGTGCCTGGTGTTATGACTAAGTCTGATTAAGAGCGGTAGTTTGAAACGTTTCCTAGTTCTATTGGTGCCTGGTGTTATGACTAAGTCTGATTAAGAGCGGTAGTTTGAAACGTTTCCTAGTTCTATTGGTGCCTGGTGTTATGTCTAATCGATTCTATTCAAACGTTTACTTGCGTTTCCTTATCAAAAATTGCTTTTACTAATAATGCTTTTTTTGTTTGTTTGTACTCTGCACATCGTGGGTGTCGAGACCCGATTTTTAGCGTTATAAGCCGTCAGATTTATCGCTGAGCCACCATAGTTCACTAGATAGTTACCATTTTGAAAAGCAAAACAAACTTGAGGGCTTATATTGCTAAATTTCGAGGCTCGAGTCATGCGGTGGCTAATACGCAGGTAGCCCATCATGTAGCTAAGCACTCAAAAAGAGCTGTTAATGTTTTTGTTTCAAAAACGAAGGAAATACTTTTCTTCGTAAAAATATTTGTTGTAACTTAATTCTTTCAACTCATAAATAATTACAAGTAAAAAATAGAAAGTCATTGTTAAATTTAAAAGCAAAAACCTGTTTTGGTGTTATTAATGAAGAAGAAACATTCTTTTCAGCTTTTTGCTTCGACATTAATAAAACAAGAAAACGACGTTTCGGGCAACAGCCCTTCATCGGGTTACCAGTGGCAATGAAACTGTTAATATAAGGATTAGGTTGAAAGAACAAATAACACGTTGCTCGAAGGCTACAAATAAAGTTATTTTAATTTGGCGAGTTTTTACCACTACTTTATGTTCTATTTTGCATTTTGTTATTTCCTCGCCTACGCAGTTATTTTATTTCTTGAACTAATCTAACATTTTTTTTTTTGCGACCATGCCTAACATCAAGTGACTCTTCAGTAACCTACGTTTTCAGATGCCCAATGTTTTAAATTCGTCATACAACGACGTCTTCACGAGAGGCCTTTCGTTATTTGACAGTACGCTATGTACGTAAGACTCGGTATAATAGCCACATCGTTTTCATAAGCACCTGTCTTCGCCATAAAGCGATTCCTAACAGGTTTAAGTTACCTTTCAGTCCACCAAACAACAACAGCTTCAACTACAGCATCAACAAGATTCTTTTGTGCAGCTACTTCAAGCGTATGCGTTCAACATTAATTACTATGTGCCAGCAAAGAGATACAGCCACCACTAAACTTCATCAAACACGTCAGGAGCTTTAAGAACTCTATAATTTTCGCACTGCCTCTGCTATCCATAGGTTTGTACACAACTTTAATAGAATTTATCACAACTCTCTTAAAAGTGCAAAAGATACGAAACTGTGTAAACTACGTATTAAAACACATGATTCTTGTTCTACCAAAAATAGACCCGAAGAAATTTCTAATTTAGTTATCGCTATTCCTGATGATTTATCACTGTCTGACTTAGAAAAGTAGGTCCCCAACAAAGGTCTCAATTTCGTTCCAACAAGAAAGTTTATTGATGTATTCAGTCTTCGAGAAGACTTGGAGAAATTTTACCGTACGTTAAGACTACAGGCTCATTTTTGAAAATCAACTTTCTATACAAACACATCTTTGAATCGTTACACAAATCCTTCATGTGAAGAAACTCATCTCGACATCAACGATAACCAACCAACCTCCAGTTGTGGATCAACAGCCCAACCTACACCAAGTAACTATCTCCGACAGTATTGGCGATCAGTTCAATTCCAATATGATGCTCACTACACATCAGGATCAACATCTTCAATTCATCTCCTAATCAAAACCTCCATTGTGATTTCAAGAAATACAAAAAATCGAACTCAAAGTGGACACCGCCCATTGAAACATTCACAAGCTTAGAATATTTTGTACAAAAATGTCGTAATGATATAGACAAATTGGATTTTATAAGTAAACCTAAACACACTAACCTAACCTCTGATGAACACTAAACCTAACTAATGCTTTCTAAGCGACAAGACATAATTATTAAACCTGCTGATAAAGGTGGCGCTATAGTAGTATGGCGCAAACATCTTTATCTTGCTGAAGCAGAAAAACAACTTTCTGACATTCATTTTTACCATCCGTTAATTAGCGATCCGACTACATCATTTAACTTGAATATTAAAACTACCATTAAAGATTTGATTCTTACGGCTAACTTGCCATCGGATGCTACTAATCTAATTGTTAATAATCCCAGAACCCCAGGATTCTACCTCCTCCATAAGATTCATAACCCAGGGAACCCTGGTCGCCCATTATTTTTGCCTGTAACTGCTCCACCAACTTAATTTTGTCTTTCCTCGATGACGTCCTTAAGCCCATCGTCTCGTCTCTTCGTAGTTGCATAAAAGACACGAAACATGCACTTCAAACTTTCAAAAATTTTCATTTCTCTGGTAGTGAACAGTATATATTCACCATGAACATACAAACACTATGCACATCAATTCCCCCATAACGATGGTATGAAAGCCCTCAAACATTACCTGGATCTGCGTTCTTCACTAAATCCCCATCTTACGTCTTGCCAAACTTATATTAACCCTGAACGGATTCTCCTTTAATGGCAAATTTTATCAACAAACAAAAGGTGTTGCTATGTATACTAAAATGGATCCCTCTTGTGCTTCATTGTTTGTTGGTTACATTGAGAATCAGATTTTCTCCACTTATCAAGGAACACTTCCTATTCATTACGAACGTTATATTGATGACATTGTTGGTGCAACCAGCACACCCTTGTGTGACTTAAATCATTTTTTACATTTCGTTTCCTCCTTCCATCCAGCGCTTACTTTCACATGGACAGTTTCCTCAAAGAGCTTACACCTTTTAGGCCTTCTCGTTTCCATTGAACGTCGTCATTTATCGACTTCGATCCACTACAAACTCACTGATTCCCATTCTCACCTCCGCTACGACTCTTCCCATCCACGTCATACATTTCACTCTCTTCCATGTTCCTAATTCCAAAGACTCTGCAGTGAACAAATTTATTACGAGTCGAAATCAGAAGATATGAAAGATTTCTTTATCAGTCGTTTCTACCCTAAGTCTTTAATAGAAAAAGACGCCCAACGCGCCCATTCTATAGCCGGACAATACACCCTAACACCTAAATCGAAGTCTATAAACTCTCGAATACCACTTCTCTTTACTTACCATCCTAATACCTCTAATGTTGCCCAAATCATCAAACAAAACTTCAGCATCCTCACTGACGACCCAATAACTTCCAAAAATTTTAAAGAACACCACTTGTCAGTTACAGACATGATAAAAGTAAAAAAAAAAAACATTTTAGTCCACAGTGTCATCCAGAAATCTAACCCTAGTGTGAACCCGGATACAGCTTATTGTCACAGAAGAACTGCGTCACCTCCCAATATGTTAACACCACAACATCCATATCTGGCCAATATGTTAACACCACAACATCCATATCTGGCCAATATGTTAACACCACAACATCTATATCTGGCCAATATGTCAACACCACAACATCCATATCTGGCCAATATGTTAACACCACAACATCCATATCTGGCCAATATCTTAACACCACAACATCCATATCTGGCCAATATCTTAACACCACAACATCTATATCTGGCCAATATGTTAACACCATAACATCTATACTTGGCCAATATGTCAACACCACAACATCCATATCTGGCCCCAATGGGAAATTTCAAATACGACAATCATTCACTTGCATTTCAACAAGCCTGATATACTGTGTATGCCGCTTATGGGATCGATTACGTGAACATCTTTCTTATATAAGAAATAATGACACTACAAAACCCACAGGTAGACACTTTAATAAACCCTTCATATTGCATGTCTGACCCCTCCATACTTAGATTCACATTTGCTCCATCCACTGTAACTCAAAGAGAACGCCTGTAAAAACGTTTGATTTTTAGATTAGGTACTGTAAATCCCTTTGGAATGAATAAAGAGTTCTCTTTCCTTTAAGTTTATATTTTCCATTTCCCCGCCTACACTTTTTCTATACTTTCTCACACTGACATTTAGTGTCTACAACCTTTTCATTCAATGTTCGCACTCTTTTTCCTCTCTAGCCCGTTCACTTCAGTCACCCACTTTTTATTCCTTTCTATTCAGCGTCGTTCTTCACTCCTATTGAGTTCACTTACTTTTATTTTTGTACCCCTTTGAACAATATTACCCGATGAACATTTTCATTCATTTTCATACATTGTTGCGTGTATTTTTGTTCTGTTTCCTTTTTTGTTGTTTATTTACTACGATTAACTTTATTTATACATTTTTTTTTACCTTTATTATAATTATTTTTTTGTTACTTCCCTTACCTCATTTGTAGCTTCAGGAACGTGTTCTCGAGCCTTCAAGCCACGTATTAATTGTTCTTTCAACCTAACCCTTATATTAACAGTTTCATTGCCACTGGTAACCCGATGAAGGGCTGTTGCCCGAAACGTTGTTTTTTACTACTACTTTATGTTCTATTTTACATTTTGTTATTTCCTCGCCTACGCAATTATTTTATTTCTTGAACCAGTTTATTGAACGTCTGCTTGTCTATTGTAACAATTAAATAAACAATGGTTAGCTGGTATTTACAGATATAATCTACATAAATATCTAACCTATATAAAAGCTAGTGTATGTCACGTCACGTCACGCTTGATTTATTCTTGATTTCTCGAAATAGGGGGAGTCGTAAACTCCAAAATACATTTATCCAGATAGTATAGTTCGATTACTCCCTGCTCTTTACGATTTTAGTGACGAAGGTGGAGGGGTCCGGTGAGAGGGAAGGTACCGTGAAACCTTATGTGTAGAGAATGTTGGG